ATATACACACACACACATATATATATATAAACTGAATTTTGGGAAACTTTAACGGTGCTGCCAACTTTGGAAAAAGTCATCCCAATTTACTGTGTTGAGTTGACATTGTACAGAAATGGACAGCCATATTGGTCTAGAAATGTTTTTTTTTATTTTTATTTTTTATTTTTTCCATGTATACAGGGATAACACATCACACTAAATATGTAAGGTCATATCTACGTGGGTTTGATTACAGAAACTAATAAAGTATTCTCTAAATAATGAAAAAGAATAAGATAAGAGTATAAGAGGGAGAAGCAATTTAAATATGTTCAGGGACCATTTTCATCTCCAGAATTAAGCATTATTTTAATGTTACATCATTGCCTTTTCTCTTTTACTTTCCTTTTTAGTTTTATTTTAGGATTCCCTATTTTTAATGTTCATACAGAGATTTCTTTAACTGAAATACCGAATAGTTTCTTTGGTGTGAAAAACTATAATAGTACACAGGATCCTAATGAGATAATTAATAATGTGAAATAGGAAGTAAAGGGCTAAAGGTGTAAGGAAAGTGGGAAGGGTGGGGGAAAGGTAATAAGGGAGAGGAAAAATATATGAGAAACTGAAAAAATGGAAATAAAGTGTTTGTAAATGGGGAGGGGAGGAGGGGGTGAAGGGAGGGCAGGGACAAGGGGAAAAAATGAGAATCAAGACCTATTATGTAAAGGTACAGAATCCCAATGATCAACTACTGTATTGTATACCTAGATTGTACCAATAAACTCAATTAAAAAAAAAAAAAAGAAAGGAGGAAAAACTGTCTCTTTTTAGCAGATCACACATTTATTATTTAGAAAGTACCATAAAATCACTTTCACAAGGTACTAGAAACTGGTTGTGGTAACCCTCGCCTGTAATTCTGGCATTATGGGAGCCAGAGGTAGGAGGCTTACAAGTTCAAGCCTAGTTTGGGCAACTTAATAAGATTCTGTTTCAAAATTTAAAAAATAAGAAAAGGGCTGGCAATGTAGAGTAACTCCATGTGAAGTCCCTGGGTTCAATCCCCAGGACTGTCTCTGCCAAATGTACTAGAACTAATAATTGAATATCGTAAGATTGCAGAATTTAAAGTCAACATACTTTTACAAATCAGTTCTTTACATGCTAGCAATAAACAACCAAAAACTGAACTAAAAATAATTTTCGCTAGCCTCAAAAATACGTATTTACTTTTAAAATGTGTAAGACCAATACACTTGAGAACAAAAAATTACTGAGAGATATTAAATGAAGAGAGATGAGATCTTCATGAATTAGAGGATTCACCAATTTTCCTCAGATTGATCTACAGATTCAATATAATCCCAACAAGCATTTTTACAGAAACTGGTTGTTCTATAAATTCACAGAAATGAAACAAATCTAGACCAGCCAAAAATCTGGAAAAAAAGAATAAAGCAGGAGGATTTATACAAGATTTCCTAACTTACTATAAAGCTAAAGTAATCATATAGTGTGGTATTGGTGGACGGACAGACACGTAGACCAATGGAATAGACCTATGCATTTACCTAGAAGAACTACAGGATAGTCTCATCCAAGAGAAAAAAAAAGCGTATGTCTATAGGAAGAAATGTACACAAACACTCTCAGTTTTATTTGGAAGAGCCCTGAACTAGAACTAATCCAGACATCAATGGTGAAAAGGTAATTTATGTTACAGCCACAGAATGGGATAATATTCAGCAATAAAAAAGTATGACCTTATCAAGCACAGTGTCACATGCATTGTAGGAAGTTGTGACAGGAGGATGGTAAGTTCAGTCCCAGTCTGGCCAACTAATCAACTTAGCAAAACTGTCTCAAAATTAAAAATTTTTATAAAGTACTGGGGATATGGCTCGTTGTGACAGTCCTGGATTTAAGCCCCAGTACTACCAAAAAAAAAAAAAAAATTAGTGCAAGAATTAGATGCACCCTGAAATATGTTGAATGAAAAAAGGCAAGGGAGAGAGAAAAAAAAAATCTAAATAATTCCATTTATATAAAGAACAACCCCACCCCCATAATTTCATCTAAAATGACACAAATCAGTTTAGTGGTGAGGAGAGGGAATTTCAAATACATTTTGGTATGTAATAGAGATGTTCATTATTTTGTTTGTAGTGATATTTTTCACAAGTGTATGTCAAGATCAAATTGTACACTTTATGTACTGTTTATTGCATGGAAATTATACTTCAATGAAGCTGTAAAAATGTTTTTAATGGTGTAAGGGTTAAAAGATTACTTTGTGTAACACTAACATTCTTTAAAATAATCAATGAGCTGTTTTGGCTGAAGTCAATTCTAATACAGTACTATACAGGCAAGAATATTAAAATACTGAATTTTAAAAGCTGAATGACTTCTTTAGCAAAAATACACAAAAACAAATGAAAATTATCACTTCAAATTTACAATATTTTTGACATGTTGATGTTATTAGTAAGTTCTTCATTGGTTCTAAACAAGTGAATGTCTAGGAAAAGCACACTAGAAAAAGAACAAATCATACCTTGATTTGTGCAAAGGGTCTTTCAAAACCTCCAACATAGAGAAGGCCAATATTCTGAGGAAGTAGCCTACAAGGGGAAAAAAACATAATTTATACAGTATTTTTCCTTGAGTGTAAAGTTTTATAATAATCAAAATTTCTACAACAGATTCTGTGAAAAACTGATTATCATGTACTATTTCTTGTCTTTTGTACTATGGAATAGTAAACAGTAAAGAAATAGGTCTTATTTTCAGAAAATAACTGGTAAAATATTAAGAAGGACAACAAAAAGAAAATTAACATATTTGTAATTCTAATAAAATTACTACATAGTAATAATGAAAGGAAATGAAATAATGCATATATTTAAAAATTTATAAGGATTCAACTGAAGAAATATTCAATGCGTGTCCATACTATGTAGCACAAGAGCTATATAAACCTAAATATTTTGGTTTCAAAAATCTAACAGTAAAACCTGACACATAAACAACCCCCCAAAAAAACAGCTTCTGAAAAGAGTATAGTCATGCCTTGGTACACAAGTGCTTTGAAGCTCATCAAATTTGGGATTTTATACACGCTGACATAAAAAATGTTGTCCCAATGCTCATCATTTGCATGTACAGGACATGCAAGGTTAAACTTGTCAGTGTCGATTGCCCTATGATTGTCTACCCTTCCCAGCCAAATCAATTTGTTTGGTATTCTTCAATTTGTATACTCATGCATCCTGGTCTGAACCAAGTAAGGACAATTACCCAAGTGTCACTGTATAATAACCTAAACCTTGCCAGTGGAAGGCAGTGGGGTACAGTTGCTATTGAGGTATCTGATAAAATTTTGAATAGATGGGATTTGGACTTAACCTTAAAGAGCTGGTAACACGAAGGGAAAAAATTTAAATCCTGAGAATATAAGAGACAAGTAGACAAGAGTAGATAAATAGCTACAATAAATAATAATTTAGTTAGAGAAGAGGACCTCCCCAAAAATTTGGAATAGATGGTGAAGAATTTTAAATGCCATATATTTTATTTTATTTAAAAAAGAATTTAGAGTCATACTTACATTTATTTGTTTGTTTGCAGTACTGGGGATTAAACCCAAGGCCACAGGCATGCTAGGTAAGCAGTCTACCACTAAGCTACAGCCAACACCCTTGGATTCACATTTAAAATAAATAAATAAATAAATAAATGCACATAGAAATACAAATCAGCCCATTACAGAGAATATAAAAAAATTTAAATAGTGATTCCTAGATTTCCTACATCATCTTTCCTTCCCCTTTCCATTTCTAAGATATCTATTATTCTTTATTATAGTACTGTCCTTTGAATGCAAGGAGTGCTGAGTTACATACATCCCTAGCCCCCAATTCTTCCTTTCTGTTTTAAATTTGTATTTTATTTGAGATAGGGCCTCGCTAAATTGTCATGGCTGGCCTCAAATTTGTTATCCTCATATTTCAGCGTCTTGAGTACCTGGGATTACAGGTATGCATCATACATACACCAACAAGATGTATATAATCCCTGACAGGATTGAAACATCATGAATAAAGAAATATCACCTCAAAACTGTGTTGTGGAATATGGTAGAGAGGAACTAGTACTAACGCAGGCTAGTGCAAAATATAAATATTTTTGTGTTTAAGCTAAATGTAGATATAGCTCATTCTTCTTATATCATAAGTCTTTTCCTAATAGACAATGTAAATAAATGGACACAATCCAGTCTTAACAGATAAATGAAAAGGAAAAAAAAAAAAATGCCGAATTACTTGCCCAAATTTCTAGGCCAAAATATTTCTCAGAGCTTTGATAGTTAACATTAATGGCTATCGAAGACAGGTAACAACTCTAATGATGTCTAGCACAGCTGTAAATTCTAATGGATGAATTTGGGAAAGGAAAATTAAATGGTATCTAAAGTACAGAAATAAATGCAAGCGCAAATAGAAAATCTGTAGTATACCAAACTGGGCTAATCACAAAAAATTAGAAAATTCAAGATTATCATGTCTTTTAAAAATTGACCTAATGAACTTTTTGCTTCAACAATTCTAGGATATACTTTCATTTATAACCTTACTTCTCTGAAAATAGGATGTCTCTGGTACTTAGTGGTAATAGTTATGAGGTGGTTGTATGATTATCTTCCAAATAATATGAATTAGTAGGACCATGAAAGCATACTCTCAAAGTAACTTAAGACTCTGCAAATTAATGCAGGTTTTCAATCTCCTGGAAACACACTCTATTCTCTAGTCTATTAGGGACTATTTCAGGTACTAAAGATGACTAACAATGTGAATAGTGGATGAACACAATTCTGAATTGAACCAATTTAGCAAAAACTTTTATATATATTTAGAATAGATGTGATGACTTTTACTAGTGTATTTCAACATATTGTCAAAGGCATTTGTATAGTGGATTCAAGTAAAAAGTATAAAAAATGTCCCAAAAATCTCAACAGTAAAATGGCAAAATTTTTAAACATCACTTGACAAATAAGAAATTAACCTAACCAAGAAAAGTTTAAACCACTGTTGGTATTACAAACTTAGTGCTCATTATAAATAGCAGCAATAATTTATTTCCTATACTGTATTAACAAATATTCACAAAAGCTTGAAAAACCCCCTTTTAGAAGTAAGAATAACTACTGTTCATACAAATAGATGCTAAAAAAAGGCAGAGAATAAAAACTGGCTGACATTTAAAAATCAATATGCCTCTAATTACTATGCATATGTATTTCAAGAAGCTTGCCAATATACTATTTTCTGTGCTCCTCCCTCTGACTTGCCTATCTAATCACTACCTTTTCCTAAACGAATTTCTTAAACATACTAGTTAACAACACATGTACCGCAATTTAAAGATACTATTCTTTCTAATTCATGCACCTATTATTCCATGCCATATATTATATTACTACCTTCATTTATATAGATTTTGAAATGGATAGCTTGAAGCTTGCTAAGCCTAAGATAATTAATAGCTTGAGAACATATACTCTTATTTTAAAATGAAACACTTTTTGAAATGTTTTTGCCTTTGAAGAAATTATTTTGCCAAACTATACATAATAATTGCCAAGTAACAGCCAGCGTTCTAACATGACAGGGTGCTCTTGTTCAACACAGCAATCACATATTCTAAATTCCCAGAGTAAGGCATTAATTATGCATTGATAGATACATTGATACATATATTTTAAAAGAAATCCTGATATTTAAAACTAGGTAGTTGTTTTGCCCTTAGTTAGGAGAAAATTACCATAGCCTATATAAAATTGCTAACAACCTCTAAAATATTTGCTTATAACTAAATGCTCCTACATTGTGTCATCAAAGATGTTTTTGGAATGCTGCAATGAAGAGGTACTGTTGAGGCAAAGGAAAATCTATAACTTTTGAAAAAATCAAGACAGGCAAAACCAGCTTTGTTTCAAACAGAATGTTGGAAGTGTTCTCTACTGAGCTACATCCCCAGTGTCTACCTATCCTTTCCTTTTTTTTTTTTTTTTTTTT